TATATATGTATATACACAGCATTATACATTTTAAGAGTTTAATTGTAGTACAAAATTACTAAGCTGCTAGTTGCTAGTTAGAAACGTCATCAAGGACAGTAAAAATAATTTACATTGTGGAAAACAATAATAGGCTTAAAACTATGTATATACACAGCATTATACATTTTAAGAGTTTAATTGTAGTACAAAATTACTAAGAGCAAAGCTGCTAGTTAGAAACGTCATCAAGGACAGTAAAAATAATTTACATTGTGGAAAACAATAATATGGTGTAGGCTTAAAAAGAAATTGTAGGCTACTAAAATATTGAAGTATGAAAAGAGCTTGCAATGCAGATTAATGGAACAGCCACGTACCTCTTGTTTAACAGACAGTAGATGCTGAACTTCCGTGTATGCGCTCTGCAGGGTGGAATACGCCTGGAACAGCTGCTCACCTACATTCTCCAAAGAGCTGCTCAACTCCTCTTCTTTCAAAGACAGCGATATCAACTTATTCACTTTCCCTGAGAATCATATACACACAGATGAACATCATGACATGTACACTGCTGGTAGAGACACTGCTGAATTATCAATTACAGCTGATTGAGGTTTAACATCTATTAAATAATTCATGACTAATTTGTGTTATGTGAAACAAGCATATTTTGTACAATGTACTTATTCACCTAATAAAATTTAAAATAGAAAATCCAAATTTGCATTTTCTTGCACTGAAAAAATGATATAATTAAAAAAAAATTTTTTCATTTAAATAAGAAATGTTAATTAAAGCTATAAAAAATTGAATACACACTTTTTTTTGATATTTTGTTGTTTGTCTTAGGATTCAGATTATGTGAAACATCCTGTGAAAATAAATGAATAAAACTGTAAGACACATTTCTGTGAATTCCAGATACTTCTATTAGATACAACTTCACTCTAAAACTCTTATACTTGTTTTTTTTTCTTGGTTTTCTGGACATTGCAGGAGATGGCTTCAAAGCTGCTGGGATGCTCCAGTGATGTTTCTCCCTGTTCTGTGTCACACTCATTTGATTTGTTTTTCTTAACATGCACAGTATGAGGCTGAACGTTTTCAATGATCTCAAAGTCATTTTCTGATGTCTGGCTCTCAAACATCTCAGCCAGTAAAGATAGAGGCGGAAGAGAATCTACGTATGGCTCTTGTCCAATCATGCCTTCTCTAGGGAGAAAAGGATGTTAAGGTTTAAATGTTAGAGACTATGAAAGAATGAGTCTCAAAGAGTTTAAGCAAATAAAAGCATCTGAAATTCATCATTTATTCACCTGGTCATGCTCTGCTCACTCTGTGATGTTGCTCGGTTTACTTTCAACATAGACTTTTTGGAATGAGTGTGTTTTTGTAGTGGAGGATTAGGAACAGCAGCTTCATTCCCACTTGCTGCCTTCCGTGTTAAACAAACTCCACCTGTTGCTATCAAGTTGGGTATGTTGGCCTCCATCCTCATTTGGACCAGTCCAGGGGCACATGTAGGCTCAGCAGCAGTACCATCATCAGTTTCTGGAGTCGCGTCGTTCACACAAACATCTGTACCTTTTCCATCAGGGTTGGGACGAGTGCCCTGAGCAGACATTTCTTGAGGAATATTTTCTGATGGTCTCTCAAGACAAGGCCTTTTCACAAGTGGCCAATTTGATCTATACGTATTAAGTAAGCTCTCTTCTCTCTGTATAGGCAGGTTTAGGTTATACTGGATAGATGCTGGATGGTCATTTAGATTTTCCCAAAGGGAGAAGAATTGGCATGATGGTAGCAACTGGTCAGCTGTGAACTCCTCATTCGCCATGAAAGGTATTGTACAATGCTCGTTCTCAGCTGTGATTTCTGGCTGAATGAACCTCCATGTCTTCTGCCTTTTTGCTTCTTTCCACTTCTCAATTTTCTCTTTTTTTTCCATAAATCTGACAAGAAGGAAACAACAAGTCTAACAGCAAACGTCTAATGCAACAGACCAAATAACTGACAAACGCAAATGCATCTGAATCATTCAGCCATTCAAAAGATGTATAATTAAACGTATAACCACATGAACTAGCTGACAAGCTTACTTTTGTTGATCTCTTTGGGCACAAAGGTCTTTAAGCTCATTAAATTCAACACTGTAGTCCACTGTATTTTGTCCAAGTTTTCTATTCTTAATGAATTCCAATAGCTTCTGTTTGTGATATTGGGTGTCAATATGCTGCTTAAACGCTGAAATTCCCATCACAGATATTTCACAGGCCCAACACTTATGCTCGTGTTCACTGCAAGAAGAAAAGCATATATTTTTTGGCATTGCATTAATAAAGATGAAGTTCACCCTGTAATCATTGTGCCTTTTTTCCATGGAACTCAAAAGGAGTTATTAAGCAGAATGTCTAAGCTGCTATCGTGGCTAATTTTGGAGCTTCACCAAGGATGCATTTATTTGAGCAAAAATCATTCTAATATGCTGAATAAGAAACACTTAATATTATTATCAATGTTAAAAAAAAAAATTTTTTTGATGAATAGAAAGTTCAAAAGAACACCATTTATTTTTAAATATAAACCTTTTTATAAGTCTTTATTGACCATTTTTAAATGAGTAAATTATGAAATTTTCATTT